GTGTTAGGAAGGTTGAGAACCACTGAGGTATTGTCTAGAGAGCTTGTGGGAAATCTCATAGTCAGGCCCCTGAATCAAACTTCTGTTGGAATTTCCATGATCTGCTTTGGCCATCTTTGTGTCCAACTTATTCACCTTTCCTGACCATGTCTCTTTAGCCTGATCATTGTCTCTCCACCTGGTATTCCTACAGCACCTGTCCTCAAGAAGGGATAGTACCTCCTTGATGTCTCCTAATGATCTTGGTCCCCAATAGGCAGCAGGTACTAGTTAATGTCCCCATTATCTGCTGCAGACATTCTATAGATTTCACTTCAGCTTATGTTTTCTATGTATCAATCTTATCCTCACATGTTTCAGCTATCCTTCATGTGTTTCTGATATTTTTCTGTTCTTTGTATCTTAGGAATAAAGTCATTTATTTTTAAGATATATTTTTATTCTTTTCAATTATATGTAGATGTGTGTGTCTGCAAGTGGGTATGTGAGTGTATGTGAGTGCAGGTGCTCATGGTTATGAAGCTGCCTGACGTGGATGCTGGAAACTGAACTCAGGTCTTCTGAATGAACAGCAAGAATGCTTAACAGCTGAGCTGTCTTTCCCACACCAATCTATTCCTGTTCTTTTATTATTCCTGATTCTGGGCCATACAGAGACAGCTTCTAGTCTACATTGTTTTCTGAATTATTCTTTTCTCTAAGAAATTATAATATATTTTTATTAAAATGTACTTTTCTTGGTGTTGATGTTCAACTATGTCATCTATGTTGTTTCCTCATTCCTTATCTAATTATCTAATGACCTCTAATGACCTCTGGACAGCTAATATTAAATTTCTTTAGTTTATATATACATTAAAGTTTTTATTGTAGTGAAATATATGTAGCAAACCCTCTATTTTATGTGTTTATTCTTACGCTGTGTGTGTGTGTGGTGCTGTATGTGGTACATACAGGTGAATGCACCCATGTGCATGTATGCAGAGGACAAAGGGGAAGTCATTGGACGTCCTCTTCTATCACTATCCTACTTACTGCCTTGGGCTGAGACTCTCTTCTGACTTGGAAGCTTGCTCCCTTTGTTAGGTTGGATTGTCAGCAAAGGTCTAGAGACTAAACCATTTCTACCTCCCTGTTGCTGGGTTTATAGGTGTGATCAGCTTTTAAGCAGAGTGCTGGGAATTCAGACCAAGGGCTTCCTGTTTTCAGAGATAAGTGTTCTTATCCACTGAGTCATTTACCCAGCCCCTGTTCTTAATACTTCTTACCATCGCTTGTTAAGTGAATAAATATTTTGTTAACATTTAATAAATGTTAAAAAACATTTTGTTTGCCTTGATGGCACGATTAAAACATATGTAAATTTCCCCTATTGTTGAATATTAGATAAATTGAAATATCAAAATTGAATATATTCTAGTTCTCTTAAGTAGTTACATCTCAACCACATTGAATGTTAAGTTATAACTTTAGAGTGTTCTCTCCGTCTTTTCTCTCTTCCTTCCCCTTCTCCCTCCTTCCTCCTTCCTACCCCCATCCTCTACATGTACTCTTTCATTTACTCTTCAACATGAAGACAAACATTATGATGAACGATTTTTCTCTCTTGGTTCTTAACTTTTCCTTTGGGGGGGGTTATAGCTTTTTATTATATTTTTTATCATTTAAAGCAATTTTTAACTTTAAATATATTTTGGATATATTCTTCCTCTTCCCCAAGTCCTTCCAGATCCTCTCCCTCCCCCACTGATCCAACTTTAAGTTCTTTCTCAAAAAACAAAAACTCAACACAAAAACAAAGTCCCCCAAACCAAGAAAACAAAATAAAGCACCACCCAAAAGAAGAAACACACACACACACACACACACACACACACACACACACACACACGTGTGTGTGTGTATATATTTCCAAATAAGAACACAAAACAAAAAACTGTGGGGTCCATTTAATGTTGGTCAGGTACTCCTGAACTTTTGAAGCCTTTCCTACAGTGGTTGATATATCCAATGACACTCTATTGGAAAAAAACTAATTTTTCCCTTTCCTAGCAGGTATAAATAACAGTTCAATTGTTAACCTTTATCCTAGTGCCTAAGTATTCATTCATTCATTTACTTTTAAAAATAAAGTAAAATGTAAGATAAAACAAAAGCCATCACATCAAAGTTGGACAAGACAAACCAACAGAAGGAAAAGAGCCCAAGAGAAGGCATAAGAATCAGAAACACACTCATTTGCACACTCAGGAATCCCATAAAACACTAAAGCTAAAGCCATAACATACATGCAGAGGACCTGGTGCAGACCTGGGAGGCTGGGTGCATGCTGCTTCAGTCTCTATGAGTTCGTATGAGCTTTGCTCATGTTTTCCTGATGTCCTCCATCCCATCTGGGCCTTACACTCTTTCTGCCTTCTCTTCTGCAGGATTCCCTGAGCTCTGAGGGTAGGGCTTTGATCGAGACATCCCATTTAGAGCTGAGTATTAGTATTCCAAGTTCTCTCTTTCTCTGCATAATGTCTGGTTGTGGGTCTCTTTTTTGTTCCCATCTCCTGCAGGAGGAGCTTTTCTGATGATGATGAATAAGGCAGCAATCTATAAATATAGCAGAAATTTATCAGGAGTCCCTTTATCACTACACCTTTTTTATCCGTTTTTTGGACCAATGTTATTTGGGTTTTCCTTAGGTCCCTGGCTATCTATCTCAGGTTCTTGGTCACCCAAGCAATGTTAGGTATGGGTTCCATCTTGTGGAGAGGATCATAGATCAGAGATTGGTTCCTGACTCCCACAAGTTTTGTACCACTATTGCCATAACATATCTCACAGTTAGTACACTGATGTAGATAAAGTTTGTGACTGGCTTGATGTTTACATTTTTCTTTTGACAACATGCAGAGTACCTTGCTGTATCAAAGATTCTGAAATGTACAGGTAAAGGCTTTATGAAGACACTAGTTTGACATCTCTATATTCAATGAGTTATGTAGGTATTATCTTTAGCAGTTGGGTCTTGCTGTCAGTTTGTGGAGAGCAACCTATGGTTTGGGCAACACCTGGGCTGTTTGGGGATTTCTATAGGGCCCCTTTGGCCTACAATTCAATTAGATATAACCCAATCCCAGTACTAAAAACTTTATTTGGTGATAAAAAATGACCAGTTGGAACTTTGTCTCCCTCATAATTTAGTGGTTCCATTTAGGTCACCTTCATATATGTATATATTTTAGGAAGTTTCTATATTACTCCACAAATGTTTCTTAATTTTAACTGTCTCTCCCCTTATTCCCTCCCATAATCCCCTATCTTCCCCCAACCCAACTTGATCCTTCCATTCTGCCCCCCACCCCCTCCTGCTTTTCTTTTCATTTCACACATTTACATCTAAGTACCTGTGGTAAGGATGAAGTTTAGTGGTAGCACAGTTGCTTAACATGTAAAGGCTCTGGGTTCAGAATAAAAATTTAAATACCTAAGTTACACTTTAAAATCATGTGTTTCTTCCATATTTTGTGCTTACTTTATTCCTATAGGATAAAAATGTTTCCCAAATATCTTCATTGTATTGTTTACTGTTTTAGGAGCTTGTTATTGTTCCTTACTGCTGTTATCAAATTGAAGTGTAGGTGTGGTTTTTGAAGTAATTTATTCTTATTTTCCCCTAACTATTCAACCTTAACAATGACCAGAATACATTATATGGAAAAATCTATTTTTAATAAAAAAGGAAAAAGTAATGATACAATTAACAATTTGTGCTTTGAAATCAAGAATTTATGATTGTTGTGCCCAAATTCTGAACCTGAATATCACCAAAAGGCCCATTTCCATGCAAAAGCAGTGTCTTTTATTTCAGTTGTTTAACGAGCTAACCCTATTAGCTCGGGCCCTTCATCCATCCACCATGGTGGATGGCTGGAGAAAAGGCCCCAAGACAGGGATCTTATGGGGCAGCTTAAGGGGAGTGTCTAGGGGTACATACAGTCTCAGGATTGGTGCACCTCCAGGCTTGGAGGATCTTCCCTGTTTTGATTGGTCAACTGGTTGTTATGGCCCTAGGCCCTCCCAAGGTGGTTGCTGTGCTCTGCATGTCACTGTTGTACACTTTTCTTAAAGCACACCCAGAGCCGTAAAGCATAGCCCCCCTAGCTAACTTTTGATTGGTTCCTTACCACGAGGAGGGCATCTGACCTCCAAGTGACTAGGAGAGGCTCAGCAAGGTCAGGCGAGCACATGTTAACCTGTCATGGCTGCCAAAACGGGGTGAGGGTGGTGATGGAATGGGGGAATAGGGGGGTTGGTCCCTTCAAGGATTTGCTAAATATACCCTACTTGTCATTAACTATGACTTTCTTCTCCCCATTTGATTTTGCATATGGTGCTGTCCTGATCTGAAATACTGTGCTCTTTGCAGTACTTCAGATTGGCAGAAGGAGAATTCTTCACTAATAACATGGCTTAGTGGACAAAAGCCCCTGCCACTAAGCCTGACAACCTGAGAATTTAGCTTCTACCACAAATACTTTAAGAAATTTTCTATATTTCTTTGAAAATTATAAAAATTTACATATGCTTTACTATTTAAAAGAACTTTAAGTAACATATTAAATATATTATACCTTTAAATAGTAAACAGGTATAATAATAAAATATTAAATAGTAAAAGGTGTATTATACCTTTAAATATAATACCTAGTTGGTATAAATTTAAGAAATTGAACTTATTGCATAATATTTTAGTTTAGTACTATTATTGTATTCATATTAATAAAGTGTGTCATTATGGCATGTTAGAATCCAGGAAAGAAAACTAATTTCCATCATTATTAATATCTCATTTTATAGATAATTATATAAGTATTCAAATAAAATGATTCTTTTTATGGTGTTAAAAAGAGTGAAGTTTATAATGTTTACAACTATTTTATCACTTGATTACAAAAATTTCATGTTTTATCTTTGCAAAATGACTCTAATATATTGTCTTTATCTATTAGTTTTCCAATCTTTGAAAATCCATATCCAATGGACATTCATGAGTCACCAGTTACATGCACAGCATATTTTGCCGATTGCCCTCCAGATTTGATTCTAGTACTCTATTCTATAGGAGTCAAGCATAAAAAACAAGGATACAGTACAAAGGTAAAGCTTTTCTGTATTTTTATGTATGGTCATGCTTTTTCTTGTCTTTTTATATAACATTTTGTTTTTCTTGTCTGACTTTGCACACACTATGTCTTGTATGAAACTTTGGAAGTTGTAAGATGGCATTGGCAAAGGTGTAACTAGTGAAATTCAATTTCCTGACTGTGGCATAGTTCTAAGCTTATAAGGTTATAAATTTCCCATACACTAAGTCTGTGATTACATACTAAGATCTATTAGTAATTAATATGGTTTCTGTTACTGGCCCACGATAACTGAAATGAACAATTCAAAGAAACACTATTTACATACTGTTCTGGGTTAAATGGTACCATAATAGCTTGTTGGCAACACATGTTGCATGGCATATGTTGCAGCACTGTATTTACTCAAATAAAAATATTTCTCTTATTAGTTTGTATAAATGGTAATGTTGTTGAAAATCTATTTTAAAGGAGTTGTTATTCTGCATTTACAGATCTATTTGCTTAATAAAAGAATTGAAGATAATTATACACTTGATCTTTGGCTGTTTTGTAATGATTCAATGTTAAATACTTCTATTATTTTGTAACATTTAACTCTAAGATTCAAAGCATTTACACTGAAAATATAAAAGCCATATGTTCTCCTTGATAATCTAATTAGGAATGGCCAGTCAGTGGAGGAGCTTGGAATCTTGGAGCACAAACTTATCCAGAAATCATTATTACTGGGTAAGTAAGAAGTTTTCTAATTTGTAAATTTAAAAAATTAGGTTATAAGTTTAATCACAATAAAAATATTTGTTAAGCTTTGAAACTTTTATGAATTTGTACACTATGCAGATGAATCATTGAAGTAAAAGTAAGAAGCAAGAATCTAAAATAGCTTTCATCCATAGTCTTTAATGAAAGACACAATAACATTGCTGGAAAAAGAATTATAACAAAAATTATATCTAGATTATATTAGAAGAATGTCATAGGAACCTTATGCGAGAGATTCACAGGGAATGCTTCATTCAGAAGCCATAGGACATTAACTTCAGGAAAGCCCTGCACAAAACCATGATGCATACAAATTTCAGGAATCATGCTTTGTATCCCCTTTAAATGTAAGACATCCTCTATAGGCTCAAGTCTTGCCTTCCTGATACCTATCTTGGAAAAATGAAGAAACTTCAGGAGATGGAACTCAGCAGGAGAAAATAGGCCACTGGATGCATGCCTTGAAGGGTTATACCAGTGCCTGGTCCCTTCTTTTTTCTTTGCTTCCTTTCCAACCATGCTGAGATGAATAATCTGTTAACTGATCCTAGTGCTGTGGTGTGAGCTGTTCTGCCACACCCTCCCTGCCATGATGGCCTGTGAACAAAACCAAACTTTCCTTTCTTAAGTGTTTAAATTAGGTATTTTATCCCAGTGAGAAAACATTTATCAAATGGCTAAAGTTTGCTTCAAAACTCATAGCATCAGAAATGTTACTACTTTGAGCTGGGTGGTGGTGGCACACACCTTTAATCCCAGAATTTGGGAGGCAGAGACAGTCTGATCTATCTCTGAGTTCAAGGCCAGCCTGGCCTACAGAGTGAGTGCCAAGAGAGGCTCCAAAGGAACACAGAGAAACCCTGTCTTGAAAAGCCAAAAAAACAACAACAACAACAACAACAACAAAAGTTACTGCTTTGTAGACCAACCCTCTTCATGTTCTGATATTAGGAATCAAAAAAGATATAGCTACATAAAATATGTAAATATATAAACATAAAATCTACATTATTAATAGGAAGTGCTTTAATAGGATCACATAGTACATTTTGTAGTAACGGTGACAAGTTCCTCTTCTGTCCCAGGCAAAACAAATGACAAGTGATTTCTCTTTATCCAAAGTATGAGAAAAAGAACGCCTTACTGAGTCATGAATCTTAACACAAACTAGTATCTCTAAATTAAATCACACACACACACACACACACACACACACACACACACACACTGGACTCAACACATTCCAGCAAAGGCCAAATTCAGAGCTTAAACTTTTGTCATCACCAAGCTCTAAAGTTCTCTAGTTTCCTTTCTCAAAAGGTAGAGTAGAGACCTGAGACTTTCATCTCCACTGAGTAAAACCCATCTCTGGTGACATCAGTAGAAATCACATGAAGCCAGGATTCCCAGAACACCCTGCAATAATGAGCAGCGGCCACTATTTCCTTTTCCCTTTCTCTGAGGTAGGAGAAAAGAATATGGGAAGTGCTGGAAAATGTTCCAAGAAATAATGGCTGAAGTCTTAAAAAAATTAGCAAAAAAAAAAAAACATGAACCTACAGGGTCTGGAAGTTTAAATATAACCCAAGACATGTACATCAAGATATATCATGGTCAAACTGTGCACCAAGGAAAAGTGTTGAGATGCAAAAAAGAGAACAGAACTCCCACACGTAAAACTAAACTAATGTGATGAATGACAGATTGTGCATCAGGAAATCTTGAAGACAGCCAGAATTGTCAACCAGGGCTAGGATGCAGCCACTATGATGGGAAGCTATCTGAATGCTTGGATGATACCATGTGCCAGCCCTGTCAGGCCCAGTTTGTCCTTACAGACATCAACAGCCATGGAGTACTCTACCACGAGCAATGTGTGCACAGTGCTTCTGGCCCTTGTGTGAGTTTGAGGGCTGGAGGTACTGAGAAAATGACTTCCAAATTCTTTTGCTCCATGCTGCAGATTCTGCAGTTAAGTTAAAAGGCTATGTAGTAGAGGCTGTGGGAAAACAGTGGCATGTGGAGCAAGAAGCCATTCCTGCAGCACCAGCAATCATAAGAAGGGCCTGGCCTTCTGTGAGACCTACTATAATCAGATCTTTGGGGGACAGATATCTGCTGCTGCAGTCAAGTGATTAAGGGTGATGGAACAAGTTTGTGGCATCCTACATGAAGCCTGTGTATAGGAGGTGCTATAAAAGGTCCCCCCCCTGGAGCTGAAGAAGCTAAAGGAGCTGTCTAATCTGACTTCCCAAAAGCCCCAGCCAAGTCTGTGGACATCAACTCAGTCTGAAGGTCCTTGGCCTCCATTTACCTGCCTGTAGAACCTGATGGTCACCCTCCAACTTGTACTCTGTCCTAACCTCCTTACTCTGGCATGTCACCCTTTCTGTGCCCAGTCTGCCCTGGGCTACGTAGTACTCTTCTCCTGTGTCATTTCATTTTCTGCCCATATCTCCAGGGACTGGAACAAGTTGGGGTGTGTGGGGGATAGTTGAAGGACATTTATGTCGTTAGGGATATAAGCAGGGAGCTCACATATGAAGAAATTATAATGACTAAGAAATACCTGAAAAAATGTTCATGCTCCTTAGCAATTAGGGAAATGCAAAAACAAACAAACAAATAAAAACTTTGAGATTTCATCTCACCCCAGTCAGGATAATTAAGAACAACAAAACAACTTACAACTCCTGGTGAGGCTGTGGAAAAAGAGGAACCTTTATTCCCTGCTGGTAGAAATACAAATTTGTATTTCCACTCTGGAATCAGTATGGATAATCCCAGGGAAACTAAAACTAAATCTACTATATGACCCAGCTATACCATTCCTTGTCATAAGCCCAAAGGATGAAACATCTTACTCTACAGATACTTGCTCAGCAATGCTCATAGCGGCCCTATTCACAATAGCCGCAAAGGGGAAAGAGGAAACACTGGTCAGAGGTAACTTTGGAAGCATTCTAAAACTAGATTAGAATGTCAATGTGAATGCTGGTTAACTAAAAGATTAAACTATACTGTGTATAATATTTCAATAAATCTGTTGAAGTAAATTATAACTATCATCCATTAAAAATTGCTAAACAGATAAATGGGACCAACGTCTCAGCTAATATGTTGCATGCACATGTACACACACACACACACACACACACACACACACACACACACACACACATTCCAATATAAAAACAGCTTCACTAGATCTTTAAAATGAGACTTTAACTATAGGTAATGTCCTCTAACCTTTTGTTTTTCGAAATTTTGACTGTTGTAGTTTATTTACATACAAGTGTTCTATTAAGTTTATTTCTAAAATTTTTTGAAATATTCCACTGAGCTTTACACTGAATCTGTTATTTATGGGAACCACTATAAACGTTATGATCATCAGGAGTATACTATTACTATTCTCTTACAAATGCCTCTTCTTTCTCTGATCAGCATTTTATATTTTTCAGCTTATGACTCTAACATAAATTATAATGGTTTATATCTAAATGTTTTGTAGTTTCTTACTATTGTAAATGGTAATTGATACTTTGATCTTCCAAGTGGTTTTTTTTTTCAGTTAAAAGAAACTATTGATTTTTGTGTACTGGCCTTCATTTAAGTAGCATTTTTATTGAGTCGTTGAGATTTTGGTGCAAATAAATTATAAGTCTCTGGAGAAGGGGAAAGGAACAAGATCTCCTGAGCTAATTGGGAGCATGGGAGGAGAGGAGAGGGAGTTGGGAGAAAGAGAAGGGGAGAGGAGAGCATGAGAGAGCAAGAAAATTGAGTCAAGGGAAGAATAGAGGAAAGCAAGACAAGAGATACCATAATAGAGGGAGCCATTATAGGTTTAAAGAGAAATCTGGCACTAAGGTAAATATCCAGAGATCTACAAGATTGATCCCAACTAACAATCTAAGCAATAGTCAAGAGGCTACCTTAAATGCCCTTCTCCAATAATTAAATTGGTGACTACCTTATATACCACCCTAGAGCCTTCATCCAGTAGCTGATAGAAGCAAAAGCAGATACCCACAGCTAAACGCTGAGTTGAACTCTAGAATCCAGTTGCAGAGAGGGAGGAGTGATGAGCAAAGATGTCAAGACCAAGCTGGAGAAACCCACAGAAACAGCTGACCTGAACAAGGGGGGGGAGCTCATAGACCCTAGACTGATAGCTGGGAAACCAACATAGACTGATCCAGATCCCCCTGAATGAGGATGTCAGTTTGGAAGTCTGGTTAATCTATGGGGCCCCTGGTAATGGATCAGTATTTATCCCGAGTATATGAATGGACTTTGGGAGCCCACTCTACATAGAGGAATACTCTCTCAGCCTAGTCACACGGGAGAGAGTCTAAGCCCTGCACCAAATGATATGACAGACTTTGAATATCCCCCATGGAAGGCCTCACCCGCCCTGAGGAGCAGAAAGGATATTGTTGAATCTTCTTTCCCTGAAATATTTTTTTCTGGGTTTGGTTTCAGATAATTCTGACTTTACCAAATTTATTGGGAAGTACTGTAGCCTTTTTGTTTTATAGATAAGTTTGTATAGAATTGGTATAATTTAATAATAAATCATGACAGTTTTAGATCAATTCAGATATTTGCTTTTATATTTGATATTCAAGTTATCTTTTTATCAAATGTTAACAAATTTATTTTAAAATATTATTCATTTTCATAAGTCATTTTACTTATGTTCACTATGATAAGTATAATCTTATAGAAAGAAAATCTAAGGATTTTCTGTTTTCTCATCTTTAGAGTACAATGTATTTTTATATCATTTTTTCAGCTTAGAAATAGTTTACCATACATGAATATTCATTACAATGATATTTTAATGAAGATATTAACAATAGTAACTCAAAGTTTTATGTATTTAGAGTGACTATTTTACTTGATATACTTTAATTAATGCTAATTTATTCTTACCTAGTCATGCTGATGGATCAATAAAATTTTGGGATGCTTCTGCAAGTAAGTTTTATGCTTATTCCCCACTCAACAGAAAACATTTTGTTAATATTCATTCATGGCCATCCAGCACTTTTTAATTTGAATAATTGTCATTTCAGAAATATTTTAGTGTGATTATAATTATATTGCTTGTTACAAAATTCATTTCCTGTTTTTTAGATCAGCTTAAAGTAGCTCTGCCCTAATTGTATTCAATAATATTAAATAAACAAGACCATGGCCACTCTTTCAGCCATCCTATGTAAAAAAAGAATGTTGCATCAGGAAAAGAACCTAGCTTTGTCAGATTAACTGTTCGAGGAATTACCTCTGTGTCCTACATGTGTGCTATTTGACAAGTGTTTTGATTCCTCTGTTTTCAGCTTCTCTGTCCTCCCACTCTATAATAGTTCATAAGACTCAAAAGAAGTTATTTGATAACAGAAAAAATTCTTTTTAATATTTTAACAATTAGGTAATGTAAGGAATAACATGTTGGTCACTGTGGAAGGGCCTATTAACTTACCCAAGTCTTCACTTTACGCATATATGTCATTCACAAAGCATGTTTTTTTCTTTCTTATTTTTAAAATGAATCTTATTTTGCATACCAACCCAAGTTCTCTCTCCCTCCCATCCTCCTACTCCCCCCAACTTCTCCACACACCATCCCCCATCAGCTCCTCAGAGAGAGTGAGGCCTCTCATGGGAATCATGTTCTTACCAAAAGTGAAAGAAACGCACTTTTGTAAATACACAACAAACTGTAGAAAATCTAAATGTAGTGTGATCAGATGATATTTTAATAAGAAATGATAGAGATTTATTTGAACCAGTAAATTTCAAGAAAGATTATATATTTATGTATTTATTTTTCAGACAGGGTATTTTTATGTAGCCTATTCTGGCCTATAAGACCTTCATGCTTAAGCCAATCACTTCCTAGGACTACAATTATTCACTACCAGCCCGGGTAGAAAGTATATTTTAATGGCTTAACAGCTAATCTGAATTTTGTTAGATAGTTAAAACTCCAGTGGTTCTCAACCTTCCTAATGTGGGCCCCTGTATTAAACAGTTTCTCATGTTGTGACCCCTGACCATAAAATCATCTTATTGCTGCTTCATAACTGTAATTTTTCTACTGTTATGAATTGTGGTATAAATATCTGATATACAGGATATCTGATATTTGACCCCTGCAAAAGAGTCATTCGACCTGCTCACAGTTTGAGAATCACTAACTTCAGCAGTCAAGAATCAGGCAGTGGTGACACCTTTAATCCCAGTACTAGGGAGACAGAGGCAGGCAGGTGGATCTCTGTGAGTTCCAGGCCAGCCTGATTTACAGAGCGAGTTCCAGGACAGGCGCCAAAGATACACAGAGAAACCCTGTTTCAAAAAACCATAAAAATAATTTTTAAAAAATCAGAAGAGAAGAGTAAGTTAGAATTACTTTTAGTTTCTGTGAATGTGTAACCACAAGGCAACCATCTTGAAAATAAGAAACACAAGAAAACAGATTAATATGGCACAAAGATGGTATCTAACCTAAAATTCTATTTCAGTTTTACCAGCTATCTCAATGATGTCCTTTACAACAGCAGGACAAAAATCAGAAAGGATCACTTTTCATCTAGTCATATTTTGAGAGTTTTAAAATCTAGAACAAACCCAAGTATTTCATGTCACCGACAACTTTTAGAGTTCAGGCCAATTATTTTGTCTTGAATTGGGCTGAATACTGCTTCTTGTTAAATTCAAGCTGTGCACTTCTAGCAGCCCCTGCTAGAAGAGTTCTCTTAAAGACCATTCTTAGAGCAAGAATCTTTTGTTTTGTATGAGGAATTGTGTTTTTATTCTGGTCTGAAGTGGAAATAACTCCCCCCAAATAAGTATTACTGAAAACCATTCATAAATCCAGAGTTGCATCAGTGTATACCTGACCTTTTCTTAACTAAAAACACCCGGATGAAATCTTTCCTAAGACAGAGATTTCTGCCTAAAAATAAAAATAAAAAACTGCCCAAATATTGTATCAGCATCTTATTAAGCAATTAAAGGGGTTGTTGTGAAAACAAACATGGGGACATCCCACCTGGAAGATTTATGTTCTGATTTCCATTATACGCTTTCATAACTCCAATGCTCATAAACACTGTTTCTCTTTCTCTTTATAGTTTCTATCTTGATACTACATGACACTGAGGGTTTGCCCTACTTGGGTTTTACTTTGGGGTTCAACAAAATATACTGAAAAAAGCTTGAACAATGTCTAAGAATTAAAATTAAACTAGGAAATAACTACACTTTAATATTTTATAGTGACTCTGCAGATGTTGTACAAGTTAAAAACTTCAAAAGTATTTGAAAAGCAGAAAGTAGGAGATGGCAAACAAACATGTGAAATTGTAGAGGAAGATCCATTTGCTGTTCAGATGATTTACTGGTGTCCAGAGAGCAGAATATTTTGTGTATCAGGAGTCTCTGCATATGTTATAATTTATAAATTCAGCAGACATGAAATTACAACAGAAATAGTGGTAAGTTACTTTAAGTTTAACTTTCCTATTTATAGTTACTAAAAGAAACAATTATGTATTTCAACTATTACTTGTTTGGTTTGCAAGTCAAGAGACAGTATAAAGTCCATATATAATCAATAGTATTTTAAATTACTGTTACCGAATATATTAAAAAGTATATTTTCCAGCCGGGCGTTGGTGGCACAGGCCTTTAAATCCCAGCACTTGGGAGGCAGATGCAGGCGGATCTCTGTGAGTTCGAAGCCAGCCTGGTCTCCAGAGGGAGTGCCAGGATAGGCTCCAAAGCTACACAGAGAAACCCTGTCTCGAAAAACCAAAAAAAAAAAAAAAGTATTTATTTTCCAACAAACTGTTCTCTAACACAACTTCAGTGTCAAAATGAACTTGCTATTTTAAATTAATCTCACTATAAATTGAACATCATACTGTTCTCAATTTTGTATCTACCTGACTGTACTGAGTCAATTCCTAAGTATTAATTGCCAATATTATAATATCAGCATTGCATTTACTTATAAAGAAAATTTCTTATTATTATAGTATATAACACATTTAAAGTAGGTATTATATGGGATATGTCTAAAAATGTATGTGCATATATGCATTTAATAAGTGTAGAGTTTTGCTTTCTGTATAAGTATCAAATTAGTGTAAGCTTTGTCCTTTTTAAAAATTTAACTGCTTTATGTTTTCTTGTTACTTATCTATCATAAATGATTATTTCTCAACTGTAAGATAGCCACTCTTAATAGTTTTTATGTAGTAAAAATTTTATATGGAAAAATAATTATGACATTACCTTACCAAAATTTTAATTTTAAAATTCATTACACAAAATTCTGATTATACAAAACAATGATGTTACTATAGTATTAATTACATCTAAGTTAATATAACTATCATTTTCCTATTCTGTCTTATGTAATTTACCCATTTTTTGCCAGACTATAAAGATTATTTCACACAGGTCTTTCTTGTGTTTTTACCTCAACTAAAATTCTTATTCGTATAGAGTATTCTTTTAGAGTATATTGAATGTCTGGGGAGTGAGGTCATAGGTGCCTAAGTTTCAACTCTAATTTTTCCAGTGATTTTGTGAGTGTGTGTGTGTGTGTGTGTGTGTGTGTGTGTGTGTGTGTGTGTGTGTGTAAACAACAGGTAGTAATAGAATCTGGGTACAATTTATCCATATATACATATATATATATGCATATACATATATTTATAATTTTCTGTGGCAAAAAATGGAAAGTAGAACATAAATGCAAAATGGAAATACTCAAGTTAATTTAATCAGGTTTTTATAATGGTGCTATAGCAATATCAGCACTGTGTATTAGTAAGTTGTCAGTAACTAATAACCAGATTGTCGCTGCCAGAAGGCTCCTAGTAGTTTAGAGATAACTATTATAGTAAGTTTGATAATAGTGCTGTGTTCATGACATATGAATATTCTTATTCTGCTTTTAAGTATCAAAATTTACTTGTTACAATGTAAATTAAATACTCGTTATAAATATATACACATACCTGTTTTAATTTCTTTCATTGGGATAACTATCAATTTCTCCTTTTTTTCATCATTTACCAAATTATAATTTATTGTAAGAAAATGTCTTAGTTAGAGTTTCAATAAACACCATGACCAAAAGCAATTTGGGGAGGAAATGGTTTATTTCACTTACCCTTCCAGATGTTGTCAGTCACCAGAGAAGTCATGGCAAGAACTCAAGCAGTGTGAGAACTCAAGCAGGGTGTGAACCAGGAGGCTAGAACTGATACAGACATGGTAGAGGGACATTGCTTACTGTCTTGCTCCCCAAGACTTACTCATCCTGCTTTCTTATACAACTCAGAACCATCTGCCCAGAATTGGTACCACCCACAGTGGGCTTGACCCCCCCCTCCGTCAATCACTAACAGAATACCCAATACCCAATGAGCTTGCCTACATGCCAGTCTGTTGGGAGACATTTTCTCAATTGAGGCTCCCTCATCCAAAACGACTTTACCTTGTGTTAAGGTGACAAAACAAGTTTAAGAAATTATAAGAATATTCATTATATAAGAATTTATTTTCACTAACAGGCATCTTTCTTATCCTGTTGGAGGAATTAAAAATTATGTTTTTTTCTTGCCATTGTCCAGGTAATTCACTACTTAATTTAATTCAGCTTGAAAAATCTCTCAAATTGAGTGTGTTATTGAATTTACTGGTCTGAAAATTAAGAATAATTTCTAAAACCTCAGTTATATTATTGTGTTTACTATTATTATTATAACTTAGACTAAATTAAGACCTGTTTTATTTTATTTATTTATTTATTTATTTATTTATTTATTTATTTATTTATTTATTTTAGTCATTAGAGGTACGACTTCAGTGTGATGTTGAAGATATTATTACCCCGGAGCCAGAAACAAGTCCTCCATTTCCAGATCTCTCCTCTCAACTCCCCTCTTCAAGGAGTCTTTCTGGAAGCACTAATACTGTGTCTAGTGAAGGGGTGACAAAGGACAGCATCCCGTGCCTCAGGTAAGAACTGCTACTAAGTGCCAAAACATGTCCCTATGTAAATTATAGAACTATTACACAGTGTAACAGATAAAGTTACTGTCTCTCACTGGTAAATGAGCTATGAGAGCATTGTTTATTTCTTTGAGTAACTCCTAAAAAAGGCACACAGTGTTTTCATATTTCATTTGCCTATTTATATTTTTTCCCAGGAGGTTCTAAAGAAAACATGGCTTTGATAAAATGGGAAATTTAACAAGGCAAAACCCTGACCTGTTCTTCTAATTAGTAATTCTTGTTAAGCATTTTACTCAGTATAACTAATTTAAAAATGTAATAAAGAAGCTTAGTTTGTAAAGCTCATAGCAACATTTATCTTGCTTTTATGCTTTTCATGATAGGATTTATAAATTATTACTTTTATGTTGTCAAATAAATGTTTCTATTGTTAGCTGCTTGGAGAATTCACCCTAAGCAAGTGTTTCCTTAAGCCCAATATGACAATATATGTTTCTATTACTTAAGAACTCTAGAAAGCTTGCTTCCTCATTTCTTATGCAAGTATTTATGGAAAATTTAGATATGAGATTTCAACAACAAAAGCAGTAATCCATAACTTTCTTCTCTAAATTTTTAAAAGGAAATATAAGCATGAATTAGCTGGAAGAAAAATCTACAAGCAAAAGGAAACTATTAAATTTTAGTTAGCAAAAAGCTCTTAAAGGTTTATACAAAAATGTGTTTACATTTGTTTATTTGTATGCATGTACAGACACACACACACACACACACACACACACACACACACACTATTCTGCACATGTTAACTTCAGAGGGCAGCCAGTAGGAATCTGTTTTCTCCTTCCACCTTGTGGGTCCCGGGTCTTTCAGACTTGATGGCAAGCACCTTTAACTGCTGAGCTACCCTGCCAGCCCATTCTTACCTTTAATTTCCCTTCATACCACTTTATTTCAGTTAAACAAATTCAAAGAAAATGAATAAAATAACAGAATATTTAAAGTAGTACTGTAGAGCTAATTGTTTCCTAAGAAGGCCTACCACTAGATCACAAATCTTCTAACAACATAGACATTTATAAAATGTAGATAAATTTAAGATAGGGATGATGGAGAAAAACCAGTAAAATAAGGTCTGAGGTGAAGATGAAGTTAGCATTAACAATTATTGACATATAATAGGGTTCACTTCAGGAACACTGAAGTAAATCTCATCTGTATTCTTGCCCCCAAAGTTGTGTATTTTTGAAGCTTGCTTCTTTGTAAATTCTTAAAATGCATAATCATGGTAAAGCTGTATGTGATAGAATAATGTTTTCTCTTTCTTCTAGTGTTAAAACACGGCCCGTTCGGATGCCACCTGGCTATCAAGCAGATCTTGTTATTCAGTTGGTGTGGGTAGATGGTGAGCCTCCCCAGCAGATTACCAGCCTTGCAATAAGCTCAGCATATGGAATGTAAGTAATTAAACTTTCTGGTTAGTATTGCAGAATTTTAAACAGTTTGCAAATGTTTCTTTTAAAATATTAAGACTGAAAAATTAGTTCAATTTTTATTAGATTGACCATAGTATGATACATTAATAATTAAGCTTATGCTATGATTATTTTATTTGTTTTCTTTTTCTTGATTTCATGTTAGTAGTAATGTTCCTACTTCAGGGTTTTGGGGGGATTTATTTGGATTTTCTGCCCCCTTTTTCCTTAAGTTTCACTTTGGGTACTGTCTTTTGACCTGTCTTACAGAGTTCACTTCCACTTTGTCTAATTGATAGTAGATCTGGCCGCAGAGTTTGGTTTCAGTTACATTTGCAAATAAAGCAAGTTTTAGGTTTCTGATGAAAACTGACTCTTTTTTTTTTCATTTTTTATTTGAATTAGAAACAAGATTATTTTACATGTCATTCCAAGTTCCCTCTCCCTCCCCTCCTCTCCGACAACCCCTGCCCCCAACTAAAACCCTACCTATCATAATATCCTTCCTGCTCCCCCTGGACGGTGAGGCTTTCCATAGAGTGTCATCAGAATCTATCATGTCCTTCGGGATAGGGCCTAGGCCCACCCCATGTGTTTTGGCTCAGGGAGTATCCCTCTATGTGGAGCACGCTCCCAAAGTCCACACCTATGCTAGGGATAAGTACGGAACTACTACAGGAGGTCCTGTAGATTTCCGGGTTTCCTCACTGAAACCCATGTTCCTGGGGTCTGGATCAGTCCCATGCAGGTGTCCCAGCCATCAGTCTGGGGAGCAAGAGTTCCCCGTTGTTCAGGTCAGCTGTTTCTGTGGGTTTCACCAGCCTGGTCTGGACCCCTTTCCTCTTCACTCGTCTTTCTCTGCAACTGGATTCCAGTTCAGTTCAGTGATAAGTTGTGGGTGTCTGCTTCTACTTTCACCAGCTGCTGGATGAGGGCTATCGGGTGGCATATAAGTCAGTCATCAATCTCATTATCAGGGGAGGGCATTTAAGGTAGCCTCTCCTCTGTTGCTTAGATTGTTAGCTGGTATCATCTTTGTAGGTCTCCAGACATTTCCTTACTGCCTGATTTCTCTGTAAACCTAAAACGTCTCCCTCTATTATGGTATCTCCATTCTTGTTTTCTTCCATTCTTCCCCTGACTCATACTTTCTGCTTCCTCATGTCTTCCTCAGCCCTCCTCTTCTCCCCTTCTCATTCTCTTAGCTCCTTCGCCCCTCTTCCTGTGCTCCCAATTTGTTCAGGAGATCTTGTCCCTTTCCCCTTCTCCAGGGGACCATGTATTTCTCTGTTAGGGTCCTCCTTGTTTACTAGCTTCTCTGGCAGTGTGGACTGCAGGCTGGTAATCCTTTACTCTAGTCTAAAATCCACATATGAGTGAGTACACACCATATTTGTCTTTTTGTGACTGGGTTACCTTGCTCAGAATGATTTCTTCTAGTTCCATCCATTTGCCTGTGAATTTCAAGATTCCACTGTTTTTTTCCTCCCCACTGAGTAGTACTCCATTGTGTAAATGTACCACATTTTCTCTATCCATTCTTCAGTTGAGGGGCATCTAGGCTGCTTCCAGTTTCTGGCTATTACAAAAAGTGCTGCTATGAACATCATTGAAGAGATGTCCTTGTTGTATGAATGTGCTTCTTTTGCGTATATGCCTAGGAGTGGAATTGCTGAATCTTGTGGTAGACTCATTCCCATTTTCTTGAGGAGTCACCATACTGATTTCCAAAATGGCTGTATAAGTTGGTACTCCCACCAGCAGTGGAGGAGTGATCCCCTTTCTCTACATCCTCTCTAGCATAAACTGTCATTGGTGTTTTTGATTTTAGCCATTCTGTTAGGAGTAAGATGGTATCTCAGAGTTGTTTTGATTTGCATTTCCCTGATGGCTAAGGATGTTGAACACTTTCTTATGTGTCTTTCAGCCATTTTAGATTCCTCCATTGAGAACTGTCTATTTAGTTCTGTACCTCACTTTTTAATTGGATTGTTTGAAAACTGACTCTTTTTATCCTTCTACCCTATTACCTTGAAGATGGGTGAGTTCAAGATACCCTTTTCAAAAGATTGGTCTTCAAAAGCAGGAGAGAGGATTGTCAGAATTGAGAGACTGTGGAGATATGCCACTCAACTCAGGAACTGAGGAGAATTAGAGTAAATCATTAGAGAAAACATTCTTAGTTTACAGACTCCACTGAAGAAAGTATAAAATGGCAGCTTGGGTACTTACCTGATAGAGCTTCAGTTGCCAAAAATAAATAAATAAATAAATAAATAAATAAATAAATAAATAAATCCACACCTCAAATCATCCTCAAAGTGAATTCCACCATATATTAAAGAAATAAATATTATAATCATTATACAGAATGTTTCTGAGATTTATGAAAGATGAAATCATGCTTGTCTCATTTTATGAGGTAACAAATTTTGAGGACTAGAAAATGTTATTACAAGAATATAAAATTATGCCTGTGACTTATGTCAACATGAATTAAAAATTCTACTAAAATATAAATAAATCTATTAAGAAAACTGATAAAATTATTCATAACTAAAGTTCACTTACATTGGGAATGTAGATCGTTTTATCATTTTAAATGAAGCAGGGCAATTTATCAAATAACATAATAAAGTAGATTAGGCATATAATTATATCAGGGATGCAAAAAACAAAAAGCATATGAAAAGCTGCCCATGCTCCAGCAGATAGAGCTACACCAATACACATACTGGAAGTAGTAAGTAGATTCAGAGGCTAAAACAACCACTTAAAGTTGGTAAGATTTGGTGGAAGATGAATGGGAGAAGGAGAAGAATTGGAGCAGAGAGTATGAGGGATAAACTTGATCAAAACACATTGTATACATGTACAAAATTCTCAAACTATAACACACACACACACACACACACACACACACACACACACACATTATAATGTTCAAAGCCCATTGGTGAGTTTAAAAGAAGCTACTAGTTAAAATATGAAGAAAATTTTCTCACTCTAATACATGGGAACAAGCACTATACCTTTTGGCGAAATGATAGACATTTTACCCGAGTTTTAAAAAAATAAAAGACAAGTATCTTAATTTATTTGGGCTGCTGTAATAAACACCTTAGACTGGGTAATTTGTTTTTTTAATAAATTTTATTAAATTAGAAGGAATCTTATTTTACATATCAATCCTAGTTCCCTCTCCCTCCCATCCTCCCATGGCCCCCATCCACTCCCCAGGGAGGGAGAGGCCTTCCATGAGGGAATCATCAAAGTCTGTCAAGTCATTTGGGGCAGGGCCTAGGCCCTCCCCCGTCTATCTAGACTAAGAGAGTATCCCTCCATAGGGAATGGGCTCACGAAGTCCATTGGTATACTAGGAATACATCCTGGTTTCACTGCCAGAGGCCCCACAGACTGCCCAGTGCTCCTAGCTGACATCCACGTTCAGGGGGCTTGGTTTGGTCCTATGTTGGTTCCCCAGCTGTCAGACTGAGGTCCGTGAGTTCCACTTGCTCAGGTCAGATGTTTCTGTGGGTTTTCCCAGCATGGTCTTGACCCTTTGTTGGTCACTCCTCCCTCTCTACAACTGGATTCCAGGAGTTTGGCTCAGTGCTTAGCTGTGGATCTCTGCTTCTGCTTTCATCAGCTACTGGATGAAGGCTCTAGGATGGCATATAAAGTAGTCATAATTCTCATTATAGGGGATGGGCATTTAAGGTAACCTCTATACTATTGCTTAGATCCTAGTTGGGGTCATTCTTGTGGATCTCTGTATAATTCCCTAGTGCCAGATTTCGCTTTAAACCTGAAATGGCTCCCTCTATTGATGTGTCTCTTTTCTTGCTCTCCTCTATTCCTCTCCCAATTCAATCTTCCCGATTCCTCATGTTCTCCTCCCCCTGCTCTTCTCCTTCCCTCCTTCTCCTACCTCCTTCCCCCCTCCCCCCATGCTCCCATTTGTTCAGGAGATCTTATCCCCTCTCCCTTCACCATGGGGCCATGTATGTTTCTCTTACGGTCTTATGGTATACCTTCTCTGGAGGTGTGGATTGTAGTCTGGTAATCCTTTGCTCTATTAGACTGGGTAATTTATATACAATGGAAGTATATTGAAGTATGTTACTCAGTTCTGGAGTCTGGAATGTCCAAGCTCAGGGTATCAGCAGATTCAGTGTCTGACAGTGTTCACTGTTCAGAAATGGCAGCTGATGCATTCTCATGTAGAAGACACAGTGCACAAAACTTTCTCTCCTCCTAAGGGACCTGATCTCATCTGAAAGATGGACGTGCTCAATACCTAAAGACTCCACATCTCAATACTGTCGCCTTTGGGTTTTACATTAAACATACTTGATAATATGCATTATATTTGTCAATTGCATGTGCTCTTTAAGCTTCCTGAGAAAGCTTTCTTCCTCTGAAGAAAGGATTGATGTGCTTCCTCATTTCAGGCCTCAGCATGTTTTCCCAAAATTTCCTCCAAGGCCCCTTGTCTAGGGACAGGCTGGCCTAATGGCCTTGTGACATGGGAGAAAAAAAAAAAAAGCAACCAACAGAGGGTATTGAAAACACTGTGTCCTTGAGAACAGCTAGAAAGAAAAACCATTTCAGTAGAGGCTTCTGCTAATTATCACATACTGTGAAAATGTCTTCAGTGGGAGTGAGAAGCCAGAAGCTAATCCAGAAAGAGGAAATGCAATCTGGAACTCCAGATGACTGCCTCAATTTCCCCAGTTGATTTCTGTCATAAGCCCTAAACTTTATATTATTTGTGTTTGTTCTCTCAAGCAAGCTACTCCTGGATGTACTCTTCTTCATGTTATAAACTAAACTGATTATGTTTCTCTATCTGTCTTATGTCTATTTGTTCTTTCATTCTGATCACTATAAATGTAATCAACTCACTAATTCAAAACTGAAAATATTTCTATTGTAAGTCATTTTTAGACCACATAGAATACATGATTTGGGGGATAAAA